CACTCTCCTTGTTGCCCTGAGGATCTTGAATCCTAATATTTCATGGTCACATGATCCAGATGTCTGGATAATTTAAAAGATGATTGTAGTTCGTGTATTAGATGGAGGTGACTTTAGGATGAGGCATGGGGAATTTTATGCGCTCGTTTTTTGTTTCCTGTCTTGCCCAATATTTATTGAGCAGGGTCAGACTATATGAATCTCTTTCCTTATGCCATGCAAGGTTAGCTAGCACAAGATCATTGTAGTAATTGGTTATGAAATAATTAACCAATAGCGCATATATATATATCTGTGGGGTTTATCCCACCTCCAGTACTATTTTGCTTTCTCTGCAGTTTTAGGAATACAAATTTATATGAGTCAATACTTATTCCACATCTTAATGGTCTTGCTTATCACAAGAGTGAGCAAAATTTAAGTCTTCTATAGTAAAGAAAACCCCAAAATTTCAGAAAGTGTAGATTCTACATGGCCTTGTTGTGCCCTGAAAGCACCGTGATGGCCTCTGTGCCCTGTGATTGAATGCCGAAGGTCTCTCCAGCAATCCCTTGTTTCTGGGGAGAGACATCAAGACATGAATGTGTCCTGAACCTCAGTCCCGTCCCAAAAAACACTCCCTTTGTGATGGTCTTTGCAGGTTTGAACTGATGCAAGTTAAATTCACGTTGCTTAGGTTTTTCAATGGAGAACAGGTGAGATAAGCCAGTTTCAGTCCTTGTGTTCCAATGTATTTATCTTTCAACAAACCTAGAGGTACGCTGTTTTGAAAGAAGCACGCTATGAATTTCAGGGGGTTCCTGTGTAAAAATAGAGGAGTTGTCAAAATATGGTTGATATTGCCATTTTAATTGTATTCGCATTAGAGAAGATTATTTTTTCATTTTTTCTCATGCATGCCACAGGTCATAAATGTTGATGGAACCATGAGGAAAACCCTCCTAGAAGATAAACTTCCACATATATTTGGGTTCACGCTGCTAGGAGATTACATCTACTGGACTGACTGGCAGAGACGAAGCATTGAAAGAGTTCACAAGATAAAGGCTAGCAGAGACATCATTATTGATCAGCTGCCAGATTTAATGGGCCTTAAAGCAACAAGAGTCACCAAAGTGTTTGGTAAGCATGAGCAGATAGGATGGATCTCTAGTAGTTTCTAGGTGGGTTTACTTTCATTAAGCAACTGCTGATCATTTGTAATAAGAATAACTGTGGTCTCATATGTTTGAATCGTTTTAGAGCAAAACTGCACCTGTTGTTTGTAAAGTTGGGAAAATACAGTGTTGTGAAAGAAGTCTGGGCTTCCAGGTTTTAGTGGCATTTGGCATAAGTCTTCCGCAGCTTCTACTACACTCTTTGAATTTTTGTGAGGAGCATTTTGTTCATGCCTCCAGTCGATGTGAATCATTACTTCTGGTGCCCGCAGAACTATTCCATTTTCTGTTGCCCTTTTCTTCCAATAGAAAGTCCCAGTTAGCAGAGTCCTTTTTACTATGTCGGGTGGTACAGGCAGAGTTAGTGGCCGTTACGATGTTACCTCAAGCACATGGCACTTAAATGTTGACTTTAACACCTAAATCATAATTAAATCTTAATTAAATCTTGCCCTTTGCATGGGATCAGCAGCTGGAGCTCTGTGTTCTTTCACAGTATCTGCTGAAAGATGCAGCTAGTGGTTTAGGTCCTCTGCTGGCATTCTGCACTGTATGTCACAGGACCCCCTGGCTTTGGTAGTAACTCGAGAGGTGCGTGTTCACCACAGGTCTGTCTGCCACGTATTAACAGCGGACTCTGAGCATAGCAGTATATGGATTTGTTGGTCACCTGTTAAAATTACTGAGAATAGTTGCCACAGAATCACATAAAGTAGGTACTCAAACTACGCCCTGCCAGTACATGGATTTCAAGCTGCAAGTTACAGCATCAGTCTGAAATATGTATGCCTTAAAAAGGGAAAACTTAAAGAAACGTAGTTGAGACTGATCTTGGAGATTTTTTTTTTATGGTAACAGTCTTTAAATACCGAAATCCTTGGTTCCAGCAGATAGGGAAAGGCACTTACTTATCTTTTGGTCCTTACTTTCCCCTCCATGTTCCCTACCCATCTCATCATGGTTGTTCACAGGAAAAAATAAGTGTGTGATTGTGGTGATCTTGTTGGAACTGCTTCTCCTAATGAGTCTTCTCAGATTTAAATTAAACAGCTGGGAAAGAACTGCAGTTGTCCAGCTATATTCTCACTGTTTTGTATCATTGAATGTTTGTAAAACTGGTGGTTTCAAAGAGATACAAAGATGGGGTACTTGGCTAAAAATAACCAGGCTGAACGTGTTGCCCTCAGTGAGGGAATTTAATCTTTGAGGAATCTAAAAGGTTATGTTTGTAGCTGTTATTTGTACTGTAGGAGGGATCAGACCAGCTTCCTAATCCTTGGGTAGAAAGAAGCAGGTTTTAATGTGGGGGTTTTTTTTTAGAATTCCCTGTTGACAACCCATAGTGTTAATTTACTTTGAAAAATTATAGTTACGTTGTGTTTCTGCTCAGCCTCCCCTCCTCCCCTTTCCCACCTACCACCACAGTGCACCAATATCTGTTTTGTTTTGTCTTTTTCTTTTTTTTTTTTAAGGAACTAATTCATGTGCAGAGAACAATGGAGGCTGCAGCCATCTGTGTTTCTTTACACCCCAGGAGACCAGGTGTGCCTGTCCCATTGGCCTTGAGCTGCTGAGTGACATGAAGACTTGCATCATTCCTGAAGCCTTCTTAGTTTTCACAAGCAGGGCAGCAATTCATAGGATTTCCCTTGAAACCAATAATAATGATGTTGCTATTCCTCTTACTGGAGTCAAGGAAGCATCTGCTCTGGATTTTGATGTCTCTGATAACAGAATCTATTGGACTGATGTTAGTTTGAAGGTATTACTGATGTTTGAATTCCCTGACTGTAAAGCCACTGAGCAGTTACTTTGATCTAACAAAGGTCTCTGTTACATGATCTGTCCTGCAGTTGCTAATGTTGTCATTGAACTGCATCCAAGGAGACTCTTGGAGATGAAGACAGTTGCATTGTTGAATGCACAGTTGGGTGACAGGCATCTTCCTGCTTCAAATAAAAGTCCAAAGTGGTGCCTGCTCATACCGAATTCCTGAGTCTTGGATGCTGCCTCTGTTGCATCCATATATGTATCTGTCATGGAAAAGCTGTTTTCATGTCACATACTAGAGTAATTTAACCATTAAGCTTGGCAACCCCCCGAGCTTTCTGTCCTCTTCCAGTTTTGAATTGGAAGGCGATCTTACTCAATGTTAAGATTTCGCAAGTGAACTTGGGATTGGTTACTGTTAATCTGTGGCTCCAGCTTGGCACAGAAAAGGCCAGGGGACTCGTCCAGTCCCCTTCACATTGTGTTAAGCCCCCTCCTGCCCCCAGTTCTGTCTCACTGTGTTCCCCAGGAGTTTGATATCTCCTGTGTCATGTTTGGTTCCCATCCAGGTGCATGCTAGAGTGAGTGTTGTGCTGTTCATCAGTGTTACTCTGCTTTATGAAGTGAATTAAATAATGGTAGAAAATGACAGATTCACTTCACTGGAACTGAATTCCTCTGTTTAGCCTCCTAATAGTTTTTCCAAGAGCAATCAATATGTCTTTGCCAATGTGCCTGAGCTATAATAGGGAAAAGCTCCCTTTTAGTGACTGCAGGGCACATGCAGTTTCCAGAGCCTCTCTGTGAAAACTAATGAGGGTTGTGCTTCAGCGTTCACAGTGCTTCTTGTGGTGGGGATACCTTTCCTCCAGGAACAGTGCCAATGTAATAAATTAGCATACTGCAGACACAGTTACTAAATAAATGTCACGCAAGCACGTGGAGAGCTAGACCTGTAGTCATCTTAACCATTTGTAGAGGAAAATACATTGCTTTAGCTGTGTCAGCTCATAGATCCCAGTCTCCCTCTATGCAGAACGGGAAGACGCTTTACTTGTTTGGGGCCTCCTGAATTACCCAGTCTACTGCATTTTCACATAACTATCAGCATGTGTTTCAGTACATCTGGGTTTTCATTCCCCCAGTCCTCTCACCTCCTGCAGCTTAGCAGCAGGTAGTGTACCTCAGAGCCCATAGTCATCTCCCTTTCATTTGGTGACCGCCACTTTCCTGAGCTCCTCCTGCCTCTGGTTATCTAAGGACTTGTTTTCAAAAACGGATTATCCTTTTTCTGATATGTGAGTTTTACCTGTAAAACGTGATTTCTGATTGTGACATTTACCTTTAAAAATATCAAATGTCTCTTCCACTGATATGTTAATTTATCGAACTATTAACAAACAAATCGCTGACGTACTAGCAGGCGCATAGAATGATTGCTTAGTGGTGGTAACAAGGGTGGGTAATTGTACATTGGTCCTGGGAGTTACCAGTGATATACCTGAGGGTTGTTTCAGTGCTCCGTGTTAGGAGTGGCTTATTTCTATGTACACAGTCCTTGCTCTATGACTTGTTTTGTTGAGTGTGCGTAACTCAAAGGCAGATGGGATCAGCAAACTTGATCTGGGTGACTGATCATGAGAAACAATTTAATTCAGATTTCTCTGAATTGAGATGTGTTTCTGAGATTTAAAACATTACAATGAATTAAGTAACTTAAAAAAAAATTACATGCAAATAGAAGAGAGGGGGAAGGGGCAAGGAAGAATCTGCGGATACATAGTACATTTTGAAAATCATATCCTTTTGAGGTGTTTTGGACTGGTCATCAGAAACCACTAGCTTTCTGAAAATTCAGGTCTTTTTGTCCAATTAATTGTGATGTGGTTTTCAACATCAGAAATTTATTTTTAAAAATGTAACAGTGGCTGGTTTTTTTTTTACTGATGTCTTTTTCTACACTAAACTTAATGATAATTATTCCTTTTTATTGTAGTGGAGTATCTGTAAACACTGTAATATTTTTACACAATTGTTTTCCAGACCATAAGCCGAGCTTTCATGAATGGGAGCTCTGTTGAACATGTGATTGAGTTTGGGCTAGATTATCCTGAGGGAATGGCTGTAGACTGGATGGGAAAGAACCTGTACTGGGCAGATACTGGAACCAATCGCATTGAAGTAGCCCGCCTGGATGGACAGTATAGGCAGGTCCTTGTGTGGAAGGACTTGGACAACCCAAGGTCTCTGGCTCTTGATCCTACCAAAGGGTAAGGGACAGTGTCATTTTTCAAAGCTTTGTGTGTGTATTCTTGTATGTGACAAGTTAATTAGCAGTTTATACAGCTCATTTTCTTCTTGGAAAAGACAATGAACGCTCCACAACCCTATCGTTTACAGTGAAAAATTAAGAATTGTCAACAAATTTTTCTGCCTTTGTCTAAAAAAGGAGTACTGTAATACTGCACATAACCACATGAGTTATTCCTTTTTCTTTTTTAAGGAACTGAAAATAAATTTAGAAAAATCCAAGCACAGTCTTACCCAGCTGATATACTCTTTTTGTTCCACTTCTCATTGCAGATACATGTACTGGACTGAATGGGGAGGTAAACCTAGGATTGTTCGTGCATATATGGATGGAACAAACAGCATCACTTTGGTGGATAAAGTGGGTCGTGCCAATGACCTCACTATTGATTATGCAGACCAAAGGCTATATTGGACTGACTTAGACACAAGCATGATTGAGTCATCAAATATGCTAGGTGATCTAGTGTTATATTACACCAGCCAGTACCGAAAACTGCAGTGACCATAGTAAAGCAATTGAGTAATGTGAAATTGGAATAATATAACTGATATTAAATCTGCATCTATATTTTTCTTACGAGATGAAATGGAGAGTTAAATGTTTAAGGAGATTGGAAAAGCTTCCTAAATTAATAACCTTATGTTGGTTTATAATGATGGTGAGATGTGATGTCATTTCTCTGTGTTGATATGAAACTGCCTGTTTTACTGAAAATTATGACCTCTGTGTTTCTTGAAGTGAGGGCAACTCACGGGTTCTCTGCAAACCACCTCTGAGTTTTCAGTCCGGACACTAGTTTTCTGTTAACTAATATCTGTTGCCGGCTTCAAACTAGTTGAATTAGTTCAAAACCAAGATACTACTTGCATCTCCTGCAGTCTGAGAGGTTGTGCAGCTACTTCTGCAGTGTATCTTAACATGTTTTGTACACAACTTTACACATTCTCATATCTTCCATTGGAATTTCATTTATACATCCAAGGAGTGCGCTAAGACTTACTAAACTTTCACATTGACATGATAACTAACTGGGTAAAAGAAGGGAGTTTTGTTTTCTGCAGCTGACCTAGAGCTTTTGTGTCATCCAGATGTTTTGTAAATATTAAATGATCTTCAGGATTTTAGTTGAGGCAGATATTAATTCCTTTTTGAGAAAACAGAGTTGATATAAGTTTCCAAATGCCACACAGTGAATCAATGATAGGATCAGAAATGCAATCCAGAAGTTCCTGACCTGCCATCCTATCCCTGTTCCATTTCCAAGGAGAGGCCTTTGTGAGATAGGAATTAATGCCTCTGGGATCCCAATGTGAAAATCAAAGTTTTATGTGGCAGAGCATACGGTATTTAAACAAACCCATACAGGATTGTTACAGCAATTCTCTGATTGGTGATATATATAATTTCCCTGCAACTCCTTTTTCTTTTTTAATCTATGAGAACCTACCATTAAAGTGAGATTTTTTTTTTTTTAAGGGTTACTGTGTGTGCGTATCTTCAGAGTATAGAGAATCTGCTAAGCTCAGGAAAACAGAATGAGTGATGCAGTTTTGGATTCTAAGGCTATGGCTGATTTTGCATTTCTTCTCCTTGTTGCTGTGTGATGACAACTACTGAATGGATGTTACTGTTTAGAAATTGAAGGAAGATTGTTTCTTTATCTGGAGTTGTTTGTTGTCTATGCAGCATGCATGATCTATCAAAGCTCTCACTAAGCCTCTGGTTTGTACTTAGAGAAACAAAACAGCCAGAGGCAAGCTTGAACTAGAAACTGTGACATTGAGAAGAAACACAATATTGAAATAATCTGTGGTAAATGAAACAGGTTCTAAAGCTGAACCTCCTCTTAACATTTACTTGTGGTGAGAAAGTAGAACGATGAACGTTGAAGCTTACAGTGCTGTATGATGCAGATTTATTCATAGTTTGCAGGTTATAAAGACTCAGGTAGACTTCTAGCAAGTGGGCTCATCGGTTAAGGAAATGTTAGACTTGGCCTGCTTTGTGCAGTGCTGGTCTCAGTGTCAGGAGAGACCCGAATGTGTGTGGCTGGTAGAAACGTCTACCCACCAGCAATGAATAAAGCACTTTCAAGTGTCTCAGCTTAATCCTGGGCATTATAAACATCACCCAGCAGGAAAAAGTCACTCTTTTGGGAGATTTTCCTTCATCTACTGACTATCAAAATTCAGTTAGACAGCTTATCTGCTTCTCTCAAAGTAGCTGATCCCCTGAATTCATCACTGTGGACCAGAATTGTTCTGAGAGGTACCCAAGTGTGCAGGATGTCTGTGCCCCTAACTTGGGCACTTTACATGCCTAAAAGTAGTTGGGAAGGTTGCCTCTGTGTTTAGTTCTGGTGGTTTATAGGGAAAAGGCTTCATGTTCTAGTTTTTGGATTTTTCGTTCCTTCTCCAGTCTTGGCCAAATGGGAGAGGGCATGGTAGAAAGTAGGGCAGGGGGAAGAGAAATTCAATGTTCTATAGAACCTGGCATGGGACGTTTGTTTGAGGCAGGAGGAGATTATGCTAATGAAGGCTACATCTTCATTTGATGTGAAGTGGCAGAGATTCATGGAGGTTCATGCTTGAAAATGCTTAGGAAGGTGATTTATAGTAAGACTTTGTAATAACGCATCTCTGTCAGAGGCCATCTAATGCTCTAGAATGTGTTAAAGCTGTTGTGAATGTTGCTGAACCCCTGAGTGTGGGAGTACTGGGATTTCTGCCAAACAATTGGTTTCCTAATCCCTTGGGGTAGCTGTATGTTAAAGTGCACTGCAAAAGATTTGTGTTCCTTGAGTGAAACACCGTAATTTCTCAAAGCTGCTTCTCTGTGAATCTCAAGTTTGTTGTATGTTGTTGTATTTGGACATATCAATTGGGTTTTTTATTGGCCTAAGTGATTCCTGGAAGTGATATTATTCTTGAACATGTTTTCCAGTATCTATTTAGGATGATAAGCATGAGACATACAGAGTAGTAGTTATTTAAATGATAATACACTGGCACAGTTTGAAGTTGCTCTATAGGCAAGGAGATGTCAGTATAAGGTTTTTGAATGCAAGTGTTTCAGTTATCTCTTGAGTAGATAGTGCTTAATGATGAATCTCATGATGCTGACTTGAGAAAAGAGGTTTTATTTTAAAAAGGGAAGAAAAAAATTTTCCTTGATGCCAGTCACACTCTTCATTTCATGACTTGGGAATTTTCCTTTAGTTGATTATCCTTATTTTTGCAGGACAAGAACGAGAAATCATAGCAGATGATCTACCTCATCCATTTGGATTAACTCAATACAGTGACTACATCTACTGGACAGACTGGAATCTTCATAGCATAGAAAGAGCAGACAAGACCAGTGGGAAGAACAGGACTCTTATTCAGGGCCATCTGGATTTTGTGATGGATATATTGGTCTTCCATTCTTCCCGTCAGGATGGCTTAAATGATTGTGTGCAAAATAATGGCCATTGTGGTCACCTGTGCCTTGCAATACCCAATGGATTTAGGTGTGGCTGTGCTGCTCATTATACCTTGGATCCCAACAGCAGGAACTGTAGTTGTAAGCCTTTTTGTTTGGTACTATATTCTTCAGTGCTTGTGGCTCCCAGGTGCTTGTGATCCTTTTCAGTATAAGAAGGGAAGGGATATCACAAGTCCTTTTCAAAGGTTCTGGCTTTAAAGTGATCTTTAAATATGAGGACAGAGTATGGAGTTTTATATCCATTTTTGTGACATGAGTTGGGGCTCAAGATTTGTATTTCAAATCTTAAAAATAACAGCGCTGTCAAGACTGGTCTTTCTTGTTTTACTAGAAGTGCTTTCTAAGTGATTCAGTTGTGTGACTGAAGCTTTCCCAGTCCTTACCTGAGTGTGTAGGTGGGTGGAAGAGACATTCTAAACAAAAAATGTCATTTTTTCTTAAGGGTTTAATAAAGTCAGCAAAAATAAAATCCAATAAAACAGCCTCCTAAGTAGTCTGCACAACATGCCCATGCACTTGAAATTCCTATGTTTGTTTTCCCCCTGTGTGTGGTATTATGAGCCTGCCAGTTCACTAGTTGTCCAATAAGAGTTTAAGTCTCTAGTAAAAATTGCAGATGAATAGAAAATGGACTGTTGACTTAAAAAAAATAAACCAGCAGAGCTTCAGGCATCCTGGCACAGTAGGAAATTTTGACTGGATGAAAGGAAGGGTTTATGAAAGGCAGGTCCTGCTTGACTAACCGATCTTCTTCTATGACAAGGTGGTGTGCTTAATGGGTGAGGGAAAGGCTGTGGGTGTTGTTTACCTGGACTTTAGTAAACCCTTTAGCACCATTTCCCACAGCATTCTGCTGGAGAAACTGGCTGCTCACAGCTTAGACTGGCTGGTCGGGCCCAAACAGGGGTTGGGAATGGAGTTCAATCCAGTTGGCGGCCGGTCACAAGTGGTGTTCCCCAGGGCTCAGTGCCGGGGCCAGTTCTGTTTAATATCTTTATCGATGATCTGGACAAGGGGAGGGGATCAAGTGCACCCTCAGTGAGTTTGCAGACACCACCAAGCTGGGTGGGAGTGTTGATCTGCTCGAGGGCAGGAAGGCTCTGCAGAGGGATCAGGACGGGCTGGACCGATGGGCTGAGGCCAATTGCCAGGTCCTGCCCTTGGGTCACAACAACCCCAGCAGCGCTACAGGCTGGGGGAGGAGTGGCTGGAGAGCTGCCGGGAAGAGAGCGACCTGGGGGTGCTGGTTGACAGCTGGCTGAACATGAGCTGTCAGTGTGCCAGGTGGGCAAGAAGGCCAACAGCATCCTGGCCCGTATCAGCAATGGTGTGGCCAGCGGGAGCCAGGGAGGTGATCGTGCCCCCGTACCGGGCACTGATGAGGTCACACCTCGAATGCTGGGTCCCGTTTTGGGCCCTTCACTGCAAGACAGACATCGAAGTGCTGGAGCATGTTCAGAGAAGGGCAGCGAAGCTGGTGAAGGGTCTGGAGCACAAGTCCTGTGAGAAGCGGCTGAGGTTGTTCAGCCTGGAGAAGAGAAGGCTGAGGGGAGACATTATTGCTCTCTACAGCTGCCTGAAAGGGGGATGTAGCGAGGTGGGGGTCAGTCTCTGCTCCCTAGTAACGTATGACAGGACAAGAGGAAATGGCCTCAAATTGCAGCAGGGGAGGTTTGGATTGGCCATAAGGAAAAATTTTTCATTGAAAGAAGAGGCTTGGAACAGGCTGCCCAGGGAAGTGGTGGAGTCACCACCCGTGGAGGTATTTAAAAGAAGTGTAGGGACATGGTTCAGTGGTAGACTTGGCAGTGCTGGGTTAATGGTTGGACTCATCAGTCTTAAAGGTCTTTTCCAACCTAAACAATTCTATGATTCTGTGATAATATAGGAAAACCTGTGATTGCAAATTGCTCACTGTCACTGATGTTACTTAAATTCCACATGGGAAACATTATTATTTTGTAATATGAAAAGGAAATACCTTCTGGGTGAGGGTTAGCAGATTTACCCTCCAGAAGTACATAAAGAAAGATTTTCAACTCAGTAGCAAAAATCTCCAATTATGAATTACCTTAGTTTTCATTGAGAATATAATTGTCTGTCTGAGATTTTGTCCTAAGTATTCTTTGTCTTCTGTGTGGGTGTATTTTTGACTGTGCATTTTCTTGTACATTCTGTTTTGGTTTGTTTCAGCCCCTGCCAGCTTCCTGTTGTTTAGCCAGAAATCTGCAATTAGCCGGATGATACCAGATGACCAGCAAAGTCCAGATATCATCCTGCCTATGCATGGTCTGAGGAACGTCAAGGCTATTGATTATGACCCCTTAGATAAATTGATCTACTGGGTGGATGGACGTCAGAATATTATAAAAAGAGCCAAAGATGATGGCACTCAGGCAAGTTTACATGAAGTGTATAGTTTTGTGTCGGTCTTTTCGTATGCTTTATGCTTGACTTCCCCCATCCATCACCTGCACCAGGGAATCGTCAATTTAAACTTTACTCTTGCCAGCACTTATTCATGTATTTTCTATTTATATGTGAAAATTACTGAAGGCTTTTAAGATTGTGATTTTCATTTATACACAAAGAAGCATGACAGAGTATAGTACATCATATGTCTCTGAAACTATAAGCCTTGAATCGCAGTCTTTAGTTAAGGATGGGTGCTGAAGTAAGACAGACTCACTATTTATACTCTAAAATCAATATTGTGCACGCCAATTGTGTGATAATATTGTCATCATTGTAAAGCTCTCTCAAAATGAAAGCTCTCAGCTATCCAAGCTGTAGTTAAACCCTGAGTGAATGTAGAGTTGATTGCTGTGCCAGATAGGAATAGGCTCATCCACATACTTAGCTGTTTTACTGAGTTGGGGACATTACTCTTTCGTGCTAGTTATTCACACAACAGTGGAAAGAAGTGTATTGTTCTCCCAGGCAGTGTTACATGTTAAAACATAGCTTAATTCCCAGATCAAGATAACAGATTCTTTTAAAGCTGTGGTTTGAATAGGAATATAAAACAAAATGGAGAATGGGCAAGTCATGTTTTCCTAGTTCTTGGGCAGTCACATGTAAACCATATGACATGGTAAAAGTGGAAATGGACTGGTCTCCTCATGCATCTAGGGACTTAAGGTTTTATGGTTTCCTTTAAAGGAAGAGGTGACAATTTTAATCTTTTGGCTTTTTTTTTTAAGACTGGGAGGAGGTATGTTGGGGTGAGCAGCTAGCTGGGTTGTGGATTAGTTTTGAAGAAGTTGCTTTTTGGGATTATGCTAGGTGCTAATTGTTGTAGTCTAGCTTCTCTTTGGTACTTGCTAGGTGCAAATTGCAATGGAGATTCATTTGCTCTGCGTTTTCCTCTACCTTGGTCACACAGCTTTGAAGACGCAGATCCCCTGCAAATTTTGACTTTCCAATTTTCACGAACTATATTCACTTTAATTTTGCTAAGTCGTGCTGTTTTCAGATAATGCATATGAATTTCATACCCGGGTAATGTTACCTTTGATTTCAGGAAAAGAATGATTTTTTTTATTATTATTTCTAGGCACACTGTCAAGACAAAATAGAGATAAAGCTTTATATTAAAAAAAGCCTGTATATCACTATGCAGAACTTGGAGGCTTAAAACCAAATTGTGGAAATAGAACTTTCACAAATAGTGCTGTGTTGGGTTAATTCATTTGACTTAAGCTAAGCACGGAATGGTGTCTTTGGCTTTCTTGATCCATATGAACTTTTCCTGGTCCTGTTCTTGTGTTTGGATTGGGAGCGCTGCATTAGGACACTGAGGGAAGCTACCACCTTCCCCTCACCATTACTGTGTCACCAGAAGCAGTCACCTTTGAAGGTTACTTTGATGTTGGGAGTCCTGCCAGCAGTATTACTATCCCAATGGCACTGGGATTCGCTGTACCCTAGTTAAGCCTCCGGAATGTTAAACAAACAAAGAAATTGCTTCCCTTTAGGGATTTTTTCATATACTCTACTGCTCTTCACACAAATAAAGTGTTGAAGTCTATGTTAGTATTCAACACAGAGTTAAAAGTGTGGTAAATAGTATGTCAGTTAGATTGGGAGGAGTTGAGGGTAATGATTGCAGGAACTTGGCAATAATGTCAAGTTTTGTAAGGTCCGTCATAAAGACATGAGGATGAAAGCAAGGTAGCATTGTTAGTATGGGTGTGAGGCAGAGCTGTAGCCTTTTGACATGTGAGCAAACAGAACCAAGTTTCATTAAAAGATTTTAGTTTTTAAGAGAAGGCAGGACTTAAAGAAAATCAGTATCTACTACACTATAAATAATAAAGGCGACTTTGGCAAGAGATAGAGATTTGTTCAGCTGACTGGCCAGAAGGCTGCTTTGTTTCTTGCATAGCTTCGTTCAAGATTGTTCCATGCATAAACATTCACTATTGTTTTCTTACATCTCCTGCTAATTAAGTCTACTTACAGGAGGCCCCACAACTGTTTTCTGGGGAGTTTTGCATAATCTTACAGGTTTTGTCCAGATGTTTTTTCTCCAATCCACAGTTTGATTCAAATCGGGTTTTGTTAAGCTTTATTGCATTTCCTGTATTTGTTGTTTCCTTGTGGGAGGTTTTAGGTGTTGCTGGACCATCAGGTGGGTAAACCGTGCTTTCTGTGCAATCCGTGTTGTTCAATCAATAATCAGAATAATTACTGGAATTCCCCTATGTTCTCCTGCAGCCTTTCACTGTGATGAGTACTCCAAACCAAAGCCAGAACCCAGAGAAGCAGCCACATGACCTCAGCATCGATATATACAGCCATACCTTGTACTGGACCTGTGAGGCCACAAATTCAGTCAATGTCCACAGGCTGAATGGCGAGTCCATTGGGATGGTGCTGCGGGCGGATCACGACAAGCCCAGAGCCATTGTAGTGAACGCAGAGCGAGGGTGAGATTCCTTTCTGCATCTTGTCCAGGGTGCTCTTGGATGTATCTCAGCTGTGTGCGTGAATCTCGTGTTGCATCTGCATGTTTTAAAAAGGAGAACTTTGCGTATTTAATTGTTCAGCATGTAGCTGACTGCTTGCCCAGTTCTGGCTTCCAGCTTTCTTTTCCTGTTCTCTCCTTGCTGCCTCCTCTGGTGTGCCGACTTAGGCCTTCACACAGCCTTGTGGTTGGTTATAGTGAGGAACTAACCCAAGTGGGGAAAGCAAAGCAAAACCACCTTATTCGGTTCCCTGCCACCTAATAGGAAAAACAGGAGAGTTAACACTGTGTTTATATCAGCTGGGGATCTGGGTCAGAAACATTTGGTCATCATAAAACAAAGGTTTCCAGGGAAAAAAAAAGGTACATGTACCTCTCATTATGATATAACTGTTTGTGCTAATGTAATAGTATGAAGTTAAGCAAACAAACCAACCACTGCTGTTCTATACATTTTTAAGTTAGTTTTGCCTTGATATGTATCTCAAAAACTTCTGAAATTAGTTAAAACTGGTAGGATGCACTAAAGTGATTTTCCCGTAGAAAGAAAATATGTTGTTTTGTAGCAGAGCAGTTTTGGTTAGATTCAGCAGACCCCATCCCCACTTCAGGTGGTTAGTAGCTTCATTCTTAGAGGTCAAAGATGGTCCTTTACTGTCCTCTTTTATAAGTTAGATGCTTAAATCTCAGTTTACTACTAAATGGCTTACCTTGTGCTTGACAGATGTTGAAGGACTATTTCGTATCTGTATGGATGCAGTAGTACCCAAAGACTCTATCTGTAGCATTTACAGGATTGGTATTTTATACAATACCCAGTGTACTCTGCACGGTTCAAAAGCTGGTGTGGGGAAAGGGAGATTAGAGGAAAGATTCTAATCTTATTGGGACTAAGTCACTTGGACATAGATTGTATTTATAAAAGCTTATCTGCTTTCTCCATTAAAATGGGAGTTTGGTTTTGTTGATCTCTAAAACTCAACTTTCCTAGTCAGGTTTTCAAATGATGTAAAGATAAGTCTGTTTATAGATTAAAGGAGGAAAGAATGGGGTAGAGGCTATGCTTCACACTGTGACTACCTGGGAGAGCCAGATGAGTGATCTGTGTACTGAACTCCTGCCTTAGTTCCAGAGGTCCTTCCCTCCACCTCTCCCTTGGCTGCACATTGTGACTGCTGTCTCCCCTCCTTGTGCCATCCCAAAAGGCTATGCAGCAATGCAGCCCACTGCACTGGGGACTTGGCCCATGTTATCCACCGCTGAAAAAATATTGGGCCTTTCCCTGAGGGAGCTCTCCGTTCATCATGTGGGTGCACAAGCCTTTTTTTCCCTTTGCAGGGGGAAGGCAGAGACTGCTTCTGTTTGCAGCTGAACTGGCTTAGGCAGATGGAAAGCATTCATGGAACTAAGACATCAGGAACATGCCATCCTCGGGTGTTCTGCCTCCTGTGATCTTTATCTCTGTGCCAGTTAGCAAATGCTTGGGATTTTGCAGCTGAAAGATCCGGGATCTTTGCAGCTGGGAACAACAGTCACAGCAGTCATCCCTGTGTAAACCATGCCCACTTACAACGTAGAACCCGCGTCCGAAAGTGAGTTGCTTCCCTTCTGGACCTCTCAGTTAAGCGGCTGGTGTCTTTGTTCTCAGGTACATGTACTTCACCAACATGCAAGAGCGAGCTCCCAAGATTGAGCGTGCAGCCCTGGATGGCACAGAGAGAGAAGTGCTTTTTACAACGGGGTTGATCCGACCAGTAGCACTGGTGATTGACAACAAACTTGGAAAGCTTTTCTGGGTGGATGCAGATCTGAAGCGCATTGAAAGCTGTGACTTGTCAGGTATGTGGTATGCAGTTAAACACTTGGAGCAGACTGTGGGTATGTGCAGGACATCATTCTGTCTTTGATGCTGACCCCAGTAACTTCTGTCTCCACAGTTGCCAGTTCTGTGTAGGCAGTCACAGATAACAATTGCTGGTGGGCTCCCATCTTTGATGTGACTGGAATAAATAGGTCTGTAATGATTGCCACCCTCCAAGACAGCCATTTGACTTTCGATATGTTCTGGAAGCAACTCTTGCAAGATCAGATTTAAATAGGTGTCACCAGTCATGGAATCCCTAAGTCACCTCCCCCGTGCCTTTTGTTTTTTCCTTATGGCTTGAAAAGTTTGCATAACTCTTCAATTTTTCTTTCTCTGGAGTTTACAGCTTAGTAAATCAAGGTAGCTTGAAAAACAAACAGAAGGAAGGGGCATGGCTTTCTTCTAAGATGGATGATAAGGCAGCTCGTCTGGAACACCAGTGTTGCAAAACAGTGGAGAGATGTCAACTCATTGCAGTTTTCCTGTATTAGTAAAGTAAAGCATTACTCCACGTCCATAGCAGTAGCACTGCGTGGACCTTAGAGATCGCTGTTCATCATTGACTTGTAAAAGCACCTGATAGTGCTGAAGAAGTGGAGAAATTGGCCCACTTGTCTGGGGAGCAGTCTAGCACAGAGTATCCAATGGCTCTGCTTTCTGACTTGTGATTAATTCTGTCATCATCATCCATGTGTCAAGAAATAAAACTCAAAGGAAGTGCAGAGGGAAGTGAACTAGTGTGAGGGAGTAGAAGCTGGGCTGTTCTGGTGATTGTCATCTGCCAGAAAAGGATGATTCTCCAAATTTTGGTGGCTCTTCTCTTCTTGCCATGTAGTCACATTGTTCCATTGTGCTGTAGTGAAGCTGAACTAAAACAGGAGAAAATTGTTCACTTTTTTGCAAGGACTTTTGAGCACCGAAAACTGACTCAGGGTCAGACTCTGGTCTTGTCTGCCAGAAAGGGGATAAAAACATGGAGCTGGAAAGGTAAAGCAGCCCATGTCTTTCATCAGTTATCAAGGTGGATAAAGAGAAGAAGATAGGAGGGAGACAAGACTTGACCTATGAAACAACCCGTGTTTGAGAAGAAAAAGTTGGCAGAGTGGGACATGTAACACAAAACACATCAGAGATACTGAGAGCATTTTTCCCAGTGATGAAAGGAGAAGTGCTGTAGGAGGAAATCCAAAGGTAAAATGACAAGGTGGAAAAGCTTCCTATCAGGCAGATATTGTGGCTGAAGTCATATCCACCAATGCAAGAGAGAGAGAAGAGGCATCAAAGAAGATATGTGGAAATCACATGGTTTGGGAGAGGAGGAATCTACCGGGAAGAAGTTAATGAATGGAGAAGGGAGGACGGGATCAAGAACTAGTGCTGCTACTGATAAAAAGGTGGCACCCGTGTAATAGCAAACGGTATTACTTAATGAAGCTGTAGGATACGGTGGACCTCACGATGCCTAGGTCTTCTTGTATGTACAGAAGCGTCCCTTTTTCCCTCTTGATTTAGCATGAATGCAAGATTGAGTCACAGCTAGCAGATGGGGGTGGGCAGGGGGCAGGGGCTTTTTGCCTGTCATGTTACAGGTTGGAAGATGGACTGTGTCCTTGCATAATACAGCATAAAATGCGGAGGATTCTGTTTATTATTGTTTTAGATATAAGTCTAGAATGCATAAGACCTGACAACAGGACTTAGGTAAACAGATACATGAATAAATCAGGAGCTGGGCCATCACATGCCGGTAGTTGTGTCCTGTGATTCCAGCTTCCTTTGTATGCATTCGTCTTTTTGTGACATTAAAACTGCATGTAAGCATGTGTTTACATACTGTATCTATACTTTAATCCAATTCTTTGGATCTTTTTACAGGGAAAACAAAACTTTTTCTGGTTAATATTGAACCAAAGCTTTTAATGCATGTTTATTTGATAGGGTCACAGCTGAAAAATGAAACCCTATAGGTAAGAAAAACGCAGGGGAAAGCTGCAGGATTAAAAGAAAACAATGTTTATGAGCTAGAGGATATGTATCCTGTAGCCAGAAAACTATGGTTGTATTTGATCCAGCTGAGCTGACTATAATTTGATTCACTGAGCTGTTGATTTTTTAAATGAGTTAACAGCATATTTTTATTTTAAAGTATTTTGCAGTCTTGCATCACAACTTCAGAAGAAATTTGATGGCCAAAGTTATGTTGGCTTTAATTAGTTCCTCTAGAAAGCATTTACTGGGTAAAACACTTTAAGATGACCATATATTAGCAAAAGGATTTTAGCGTAAACAGAGGCTGCTGAATGAATTGGACTTGTGTATAGCATCCTTCGTGCCGGTTAGACTGGTCTGGACAGCCTTATTCCCTTGTAGACTTGGGGAGGTTATGTGGTTGTGGAGGTTTCTGAAGCTTGCTCTACAGCCTGGTTAACAGCATCCTGCTAAATCATGGAATAACCTTAGATGTCCAGTGCTTAACTTTCAAAGAGGGATGAAAGAACTATAAACCTGTCTAACAGTTCCTTTACAAAGTTCTTGAATTTTTCAGTTGGAATTGTTGATGCTTTTTAGACATTCATAAACCATTTGCAAATAACATGTCTGCCACACCAGTCAATTAAAAAGTAGTGGTTTCTATTATTGTTGAAGGGACTGGAAAAGCTATAAAATTGCTGTGGTGAAAACATGCTGTTTTCAATTAAGACTTTAAATAGAGGAATTGTGTGTCCTTCCAGCTTGATGGTCTTTACATTTAACTATTGATTTACATCTTGAAAAGACTACATATTTGTTTCATTCTGGGAATCAAAGTATTTAATTAGTGTGGAAATTCAACTTTTCTTTAATTGTAACATGTTTTCTTTTTTCTAACTATATCTGTTGAAAACATGATTTTATTTATTCAGATCAAAATTTTCATTTTGATCCTTCTTTTAAACAGCAATTTAATGGTGTCATCCAGTGCTATAGGTGCCTTTTGCCTCTCCTTTTGAAATTATTCATTAAGAATTTGGACTGTCATTTACTCAAGACCAAATTCAATGTAATTATAGTATAGATTAATCACCTTATCCAGTGATATCTCCAGCAGCTTCCCAAATCGCCAACGTTCAGTTTTTTGCAGATGAGGGAGAAAAAAGATGGTGCTTGATGTACACCCCCAAACCCCATTCAGTGTAGCCTGGTTTAGGCCTGGGTTTGGGAGGCTGTTGAAACAGACTAGGATTCTAGCAGGACTGCTAGCTTGCAGGTGTCACCTGGCACCTCAGGTACTCGTGATTTCAGGATGCCTTCAGGATGCCCTTCAGGAAACCAGCTTGTCGTTTGTTTCTAAATGGATGAGCAGTTTAGTACTTAACAAATCATGAAGGCAGAAGGATTTTTCTTTGTATTGAATTGAAATGAGGCTGTGAGCCTTTCCTATTCTTGTGAGATCTTGAGTGCAGCTGAAAATCGTGCTTTTGGGTCAAAATGTGAGGCTTAGTCTTTCAAAAGGACAATCACCTTAAAAAATCCAATGACACTGAAGTTCATAGGAGCTAAGGGTGCTCAGCAGGTTGCAGGGCTTTGCTCGCTGAGAACCTTCTGTCAAAATGTTTCCCAGTGTTTCTAAATTCTACAACCTGTATAGGAGAAGTAACTCAGGAACTGCACTGCTAGAGAGCAGTACTAAGGGTCGGGTTTAGTGCCCATTTAGTGAGATTGGTGCAGGTGCATTTATTCTGTTCTTTTACTCTTACAAGAGTAAAATCTGGTGGTACCTTGGAAGTGTGTACAATAATAGACACATCAGATTACAGCCAGGACTGCACTGTCACATACAGTTCATGCTTGTTTCTCCTGAAAATGGAACGAAACAAAGATGTCTTCCTGATTGGTTTGGAAACAAAAGAAATTCTGGGCTGAAGAACTAAAACCCCAATTGCAAGTCCAAGAATTTCTGACCTCTCTACAACCAAATTTGATTTGAATGCACGCTGTTTGTCATGACAGTCAAGCAAGAGTCATTGCAGGCGGTAATTTTATGTGCAAAACTAATAGAATCTGTAATTGAAATAAATGTTACATTTGCATGCATAGCTGAGCTGTACATAATTTACGCAGCAAATTAGTTGAACACAGTGCTCATAGCATTTTATTATGTATCCACATACTATAGTCTCACTTTGTGTAGATATTCAAAACTTATTTTTTAAATGCAAGCAACCATAAGATCTTTATTCCAAAATCAAATATGAGTGCAGAAGAAGCACCAAGTTATGATTTTGGTTTGCTTCCTCATTTTCAAAATCGAATATATCCAGTATGCATAGGAAGACACAGCCTTGAAGTGGTTTCTGTGAATTAGAATAGTTTGGAATCTCTTCACCCTAGACAAGCATAACAGCAACAATTAAGTGCCGCTAAGTGTAGGGCAGCACACAGTAGAAGACTGCAAGCAATTAAAGTTAAAAGCAGTTATAAATGCATTTTTATTTAACCTGATTTTTACACATTGGCTGAGAGCCTTGAGAGACTTTTACACATTTCTGTAGAGCAGAAAGCCTGAGCATTTGATAGTGGTCCTGTTTGGGAGCATACTGAGTTACTTGAAGTTTGGGGTTTCTGGTTGGTTACTGAATTAAAAACAGAAGGTGAAGAAAGAAGTGTGGCTGTTAGAATATGAGCTTTTCTTTTGTGATCGTATCTCTGTGGCTGTGATATAGCATCTGACAGGTTTGTGTCCTTGCTTTTGCTTTGCACGGTGAATGTGTTTTATTCAAGTGATGGCAGTGAAGGTGATTGGTTATATTTCACTCTTGCTTGTAGATTCCAACAAAGTGTGCTGCTCAGTGTATGAATGTATTGTGAAAATTTTGGCCCAAGAGCTGAGTCTGTATTGGTGACACAGGCTTTTAGGGCTTGCACACACTTACACCTAACAGAGCACGTCAACATGAAGCTGATCATGGCTGGCTGACCATCCAGTGTATGCAAGGATGGGATGTGCTTCATGTTCTATCTGTTTGTCCTCATGACATGGCAACTGGTTGCATTAAGCTGAGATGAAGTCGAACAAGCAGAGCCTTGGTCTGCATAGTCAAATGAAGCCAATGACCTTATAGCTAACTAGTTTCAGGGGTTGGGTTGGATTTGTTGTTGGTTTTTTTTTAAGAAATGAGTTGAAAGTCAACTGGTATAAAATTAGTTTTTGTTTTTGTTGATCTCAGGTGCTAACCGTGTGACCCTGGAGGACTCCAACATCCTTCAGCCGATGGGACTCACTGTGCTGGGGAATCACTTGTATTGGATTGATCGTCAGCAGCAGATGATTGAGAGAGTGGAGAAAATTAATGGATACAAAAGGACTAGAATTCAAGGCCGAATTGCTCACCTAACAGGCATTCATGCTGTGGAAGAGCTTGACATGGAGGAATTCTGTGAGTTTATTTCAGTATCTGATGTCTCTTACTCTTGGTCACTGTCACTCACAGGCCCTCATACAGCAGAGCATTGTAATAAGGTTGCCCAGTGGGCTTCAAGTAAGCCATGGAGAGCTTTCAACTTGGCCAGTCGGGATCCTAGAAGAGGAGGAGAAACAAGTTGCTCATTCTTGTCCAGAGGAGCATTTCTGCACAGCTGGAATATGTGATTTCATGGCACTTCGTTACGTATTTCATACAAGCTCACATGATACTGAATTAACTCTAAAAGATACTTATCATTACGGTTGCTAACTTTTTAAGTACAACCAAGTAATAAGACTTGGAAAAACCTTTAAAAAGAAAGAAAAGGATTGTACTTGCCTTTTCTCCAGGGGTTTCAGGACTCTTGTGTAAAGCATGACCGGTTTGAATCAGCACGGTCATAGAATCATAGAGTGGTTTGGGTTGGAAGGGATCTTGAAGATCATCTAGTCCAACCCCCTGCCATTGGCAGGGACACCCCCCACCAGACCAGGTTGCTCACAGCCCCATCCAACCTGGCCTTGAGCACTGCCAGGGAGGGGGCAGCCACAGCTTCTCTGGGCAACCTGTGCCAGCGCCTCACCACCCTCACAGGGAAGAATTTGTTACTAATATCTAATTTAAATCTCCCCTCTTTCAGTTTGAAACCATTACCCCTCATCCTATTATCACACTCCCTGATCAAGAGTCCTTCCCCACCTTTCCTGTAGCCCCATTTAAGCACTGGAAGGCCACTCTAAGGTCTCCCCGGAGCCTTCTCCTCTCCAGGCTGAACAACCCCAACTCTCTCAGCCTGTCCTCATAGGAAAAGTGTTCCAGCACTCTGCCCATCTTGGTAGCCCTCCTCTGGACTCGCTCCAACAGCTCAATGTCTGTGTTGTGTTGGGGGCCCCAACGCTGGATGCAGCCCTGCAGGGGGGTCTCACCAGATGCAGAGCAGAGGGGCAGAATCCCCTCCCTCGACCTGCTGGCCACGCTGCTCTGGATGCAGCCCAGGATGAGATTGGCTTTCTGGGCTGCCAGCACACGCTGCTGGGTCATAATCAGTTTTTCATCCACCAGCGCCCCCAAGTCCTTCTTCCCAGGACTGCTCTCCATCCACTCATTGCCCAGCCAGTATCTGTGCTTGGGATTACCTCGACCCAGGTGCAGGACCTTGCACTTGGCCTTGTTGAACTTCATGAGGTTTGCACAGGCCCACCTCTCCAGCCTGTCCAGGTTGATGATGTAAAAGCCTCCAGTGAGGGAGGGAGAATGGGCAGGAAGCTCCTACAAGGAATTGTTCTGGATATGGAAATTCTCTCCCATCAGAGGTGGAGCCACCTCAGGTGCTTCCTTCTGCAAGGGGTCACGTGTGCCGGACCTTGTTTTTCTGGACTGGTGGACCAAATTTCTGTGGTCTGAGGGAGAGTGCAGAAACCTCTTAAAGTCGTCACTCCTCAAAGTGTCAACCTACAGCTCCTCATGAAGTAGTAAATCAGCTTTTGAGCACTGAACTGTAGAAATCCTGCATTTATCTTCCTATTAATTTGTAGCAAAATCTTGGTTACTCAAGCAGAAGTGGTTTGTGAGTGGTTTTGTGAGTTGGCCCTAGCTAGCAGTAATGATTTCTTTTATGCTGTCTAATATTCTTTTCCGTGTGTTACTCCAGCTGTGCATCCATGCTCCCGTGACAATGGTGGATGTTCGCACATCTGCATCGCCAAAGGGGATGGGACTCCAAGATGTTCATGCCCTGAGCACCTTGTACTTCTACAGAATCTCTTAACATGTGGAGGTGAGTTCAGTTTAACAGTACTGCTAAGCAGTTTACATCAGAAAAGACGGGGGTTGAGGCTGCATTCCCATCCGAAATGTGGATTTACACACAGTGTTTTCCTACGCATGGTGTGTTGCATCATGTGTTAAATTGACCTTTGATTCTTCTACCAGCTGTTTTCTGCTTCAGTTTTTGGACATATGTGACTTTTCATTGTGAGCAGAATATTCTCCTTTGACCTTAAAGTACTTGCATCTTCTACTGGGATTTTTAGAATTGTATAATGTGACAGATTTGTGCTTTAGACAAATGCTTATAAGATGATGTTGCATCAACAGTCGTGATGACCTAGCAGCAGAAATTGTGCATGTGACCCCCATAGTGTGATACTCCAGTCTTTCAAATTAATTTGGACTCGTAACATGAAACACTGTACTGTCTAGTTATGAAGTGTAGGCCAAAAGCTCCATTGCAATCCTTTTCAGTTAAGGTAGCTCTCCTCTTCCCACATGGTAGAGTTTTGCTTTAGACTTCCTTCTCACAATCCCAGGATTTTTGAAAATTGTTAAATTACACTTGCAGAGGGGATTAAAAACAAAACAAAACCCCCATTTTTTGCGGGGGGAGGTATCGTATCTTAAACCATTTGGCTCTGTTGGTCCTCTTGACTTCTTTTTGTGTATTCATTTTGCTGTGGATTTCATTTTCTGGCTGAACTCTGACCTCCCACGGGACAGTCATTTCCATTATAAACTGTTTTCTTTCCCATGACCACAACACACTATGTGGTTTTAGAGTAGTGGTGGTTACATCTGCGGGGGGGGGAGGGAATCAATCTACTTACATTTCTTGCTGTACTGCAGTTGCACAACATGGCCAATGAGATATTCTTGCATCCCACTCCTTCGTTATCTTCAGCTATAAATCTAAAAATTAAGGAGCCTCCATTTCAGTGTCTGTTTTTTTAATTCTAACCCTTCACTAAGCCTGCAACAACTTTTCAGCCTATCCTGTCTGCTGTAGTAGCAGCCAACAGCCAGCATTTCAAAATAGATTAATAGCTATTTTGGCTGGAGAACATTTGTCCATGTACCCGTACAAATGCTCTTGACAAGTTTTTAAATGCAAGCTTGTGCCTGCCAAGTGCAACCATAATGCAACATTAAATGTGGCTCTAGCTGCAGAAGTAGTAATCTGTCTGTTGAATTATCTAAGCAGCACACTCATATCAAAATTTAATTTAAGAATTATCTTAGTGTGTGTATCTGGCATCTTTATCTTACCTACAGCTGTCAGATCACTGACTACATTTGTCATTCTCATATTGCTACACCAAACATTAAAGAAACTTAAAAATCATGAAATTTTCAAAAATCAAATGCATTTGGATTTTTATTTGCCTTTTGATTTTCAAGCTCTTGATTATACTTGAGTCTCATTCTTGAACATTTCTCCCTAATGAAGTAAGGACAGCACTTTAAAACACTTTAAAAATGATTTGCGTGTAATTGCTGAGCTCTAGGATCTGTAACACCACCCTCAGGAGAAAAATACTCATCCAAAAGTCTTGTCATTGGGTACAGCTGAGAACCTTTCCTTATGCTGGGTTCTTTGTGAAGTCCATTCCTGAGCCTGCATGTTAATAAAAGCTGATTGGGTTTCCAGAGGGGCACTACTATCCGGCATCAGACCACACCTCCAGCTTGCTCAGTGCTGTGTTCACAGACAGGGTATGGTGTGGTACTCCATGAATCCAAATCCACCGAGACTGGACCCAGCAACTTTTGAAATCAGTGGAAACGTTATCTGTTTGCTGCAGCGGTGTTTTGAGATGGCCCCTTATTTTGAGCAGAACTAACCCTTACTGATAACAACTGAAGGGACTTACACGTTGGCTGTTTCTTTCACTGATACTAATGGTGAAAAAGCATGTGCTAGTTTGCTGTGTGTACAAGCTAGGAGCATTTTTTGTGATAGACTCTTGATCTGGATTGTCTTTGTCTTTTCTGAAGAAAGCAACTATGAATGCCTTATTACAGTGTCATTATTGCATGTGTACGTGAGGTTTTGGCTGCTGCTTAGTGCTATCAGTGTGTGATTGCAGCTTGAGCAATGGTATGGGTGTGGGATGGATTGATGCCAGGACCTTGGGGTCCATGAAAAGTCAAATTTGAAGTAAGCCCCAGCTTTCTTCGGTCCAACAAACATAAAAAAAGACTGTGCACAAGGCCCAGTGTTCTGTCTCTGACCACAGTGAAAGAGTGTAAGATCAGGGCAGGCCTACAGTGCTCCTCAGACTAATCTCTGAACCTCCACTGGCCTGCAGCCCAGGCACTTTCCAGCAAGAGGACTTAGCTTAATGTTTAACAGGCCTTTACAGGTATTTTTTTCTCCATTCATGTTTTTCAGTTCATATCTGACTCTCGAATTTGTTTGTGGAGAAACCATGAGGAAAATAGAGAAACAGATATTGTAGAAGCAGATGTTGTAAGTTTTCAGTGTATTCATTGCCAATTAACCCAATCTGCCAGGTTTTATTTATGAAGAATTGTTACAGGTTAATATAATTACAGGGATTAGAATTGGGTAGAATGCAGTTTGCAATCAGAAATTGAGTACTCATTTGAATGTATGTGCATGACTGTCTTCCAAAAGGTGGTTGTTAGAGCCAAAGTAAGTATTTGCAGTTCCTGTCCTTAGTTCAGTGCTCGCCTGCTAGAGCACACTTCTTCGATCAGTGTGCATCCAGATTTTGTTATGAAGTTGGCAAAATTTCATTCCCTATGCAAAATCATGTTTTCCTCTTTGCTGGAATCTTAACAGTGTCACAGAAGAACTTCAGTCCAAGCATAAGTGTGTTTTTCTTGAAAATATCCATCACATTTTTACTCTGTTGCAAGGGCTAAAATTGAATATATAAATGTGATTTGTTTTTCTCCAGAACCTCCAACTTGTTCCCCAGACCAGTTTACCTGTGCAACTGGAGAGATTGACTGTATCCCAATGGCATGGCGGTGTGACGGGTTTCCAGAGTGTGATGACCAGAGCGATGAAGATAGCTGCCCCATATGCTCCGCGTCCCAGTTCCAGTGTGAGAAAGGACAGTGTATCGATGCACACTTGCGGTGTAATGGAGAAATTGACTGCCAAGATAAATCTGATGAAGTGGATTGTGATAGTAAGATTAATTTTCCTGAACTCATGGCTCTAACATTGGGATTCTAACTGTTCTTCATATATATATATTATATCTATGATTTTTAGTTTCAAATAGGGAAAAACAGCCTTAACCATAAGCTTAACAAAGCTATCCACTGATTCTGTTTTTCTTATCCTCTTTCTTATTCTGTTGCACCAATTAAAGTTCTCTGTGGCTACATAAATTGCTGATGATGTAACTATAGATATGGGAGAGGTTAGGGAGAGTATCTACCCTGGATTTCAAGAGAGCAGACTTTGA